CGCGACTCGGCAGGGCGGCGCGGCTCGGCAGGGCGGCGCGGCTCGGCAGGGCGGCGCGGCTCGGCAGGGCGGCGCGGGTGCGGCGGTGCGCTTACTAGGGGCGGGAGGGGGGTAGGGCCGCGTCTGGTGGGGCAGGGCCGTGGCGCGCCGGCAGGGCAGGGGCCGTGACAAGGAGGGCCGCGACGAGGCGGCAGGGCAGGGCCGCGACGCGGCTGCAGGGTCAGGGCCGCGTCAGGCAGGGCCGCGACGAGGCGGCAGGGCAGGGGCCGCGACGAGCCGGCAATGCAGGGGGCCGCGACGAGGCGGCAGGGCAGGGGCCGCGACGAGCCGGCAATGCAGGGGGCCGCGACGAGGCGGCAGGGCAGGGGCCGCGACGAGACGGCAGGGCCGGGCCGCGACTGGGCGGCTGCAGGGCAGGGCGGAGTCACGGCTGCTGCAGGGTAGGGCGGCGCCGAGGCCGGTAGGGCAGGGCCGCGACGACGGTGCGGGCGGGCCGCTAAGGGCGGCGACGACGAGGGCGGGCCGCTAAGGGCGGCGACGGCGTCTACGGCGGGCCGCGTAGGCGGCGGAATCGGGCCTCGACGGGCCGTTAGACAAAGGGCGTGACGGGCCATAATGGCAGGGCCGCTAATGGCGGCAGTAGGGCAGAGCGTACGACGGCGCAGGGGAGGCAAGCGCGATGCGCGCTTCGGGCAGGGCAGTAAAAAAGGTAACTAACACGGTGGGCCCTAAAAAAAACGTCCCCACTAGGGAACCTGCTTTGAAACCATGTCACAATGTAGGAAACGAGAATGACTAGAAACAGGACAGTACAAGGTTTGTATTGGCAAAACCTAACAATACTGTACCCCATAAGGAGTGCCCCACTACAGCCTACAATATAGTTCTGACAGCTTTAACAGTAAGCATGTTAGGAATGTAACGAAGTCGTTTAGTACAACATAATATACTATTTGAAATGAAATGAAAAACATAAACATTGATCAAACAGATCTTTTCTATTGTTCCGACCGAACTGGCATGTATGCAAAAAGGTTACATAAACAGTTACCTAAAATTCGAGGACGTGGCAAGAACCCACCGACATTTTTCCGCAACGCAAAATCTGCGTGTGAAGTGCTGGTTGGCAACATGTCCCACAAATCTCCCGAATCATCCCCATATCTGTCTGATAAATCCGACCAATGAAAACGATCGACAGAAACACCACGTAAACCTCCTCGAACCATGAATTTTTGTCCACGTGTACAGTGCGCATCTGCAAAATGAGGTAAACAGAGATATATCCCGATTCAGCGGGGTGGTCGTAAATGTCAAGAAGAGAAGTCGACAATCAGCGGGAATCAACCCAGCGCACACGATGGTAAACTGCCGGGAAAAGCGGACACCTAATTTCACCTCATCGATCATCGAATACCATCAGCCTCCAACACGGAAAATGACCCCCTCCCCCCCCCCCCAATACTCGGTAGTTTCACATTTTTCCGATGTTTGTCTCTCTCATCCTCGTGTCTATACCTCCCCACCGTCCATTCCACGTTCCCAGAGCCTAGCGCAAAAAAGGCAATGGGATATTTCACGTGCCAAGACATTACTGATAGTGTGACCTGAAGAGTGACCTGATATTGTTGCAAGCCCCATCACCACGCTTCCCAGTCCTTTTTCTATATTGGTTTCAATCCCCAACATCACATCCACGCAGTTTCTTTATTAGCCTGCTTGCATTTCCTGTACCCAACCCCTCTCCTAGTAGAGCTCGCACATCAGTTTTGTAATTACACAGGTCGGATGTAGTCAAGAGCAGGTGGGTAATACTCGCGTCGTCTTAATTCCCTTGTTCCACCAACGAGGCTCTCAATGGTCTAGGGTTTGCCTAACCTAGGCTGTGACTGACCTAGCATGCGACTGACCTAGCATGCGACTGACCTAGCATGGGACTGACCTAGCATGCGACTGACCTACCATGGGACTCAAACGAATGGCCAGTTATGTGGGGAGGCTGACAGCGCTTGAGCATCTTCTGCTAGATGAGACGGCAGTCACGGATGCTGGGCTGCAGCAATTAACGGGTCTCTCATCTCTCAAATTTATGTGTTTTTCTGAATGCAAGGGTGTGACAAGTGCAGGCGTTGCAGACTTGGGGAAGCTGACTGGGCTTGAGAACCTTTGGGTGGATAGGACAGCAGTCACGGATGATGCCATGGTGAATGTGGGGAGGCTGACACGGCTTGAGAGACTTTGGCTATGTGGGACGGCAGTCACAGATGCTGGTCTGCAGGAATTGACGGGTCTCTCCTCCCTCAAGCTGTTGAGCCTTTCCGACTACAAGGGTGTGACAGCTGCTAGCATGGTGCATGTGGGGAGGCTGACAGGGCTTAAAGAACTTGTGCTGGATGAGACGCCAATCACAGATGATGGGCTGTAGCAGCTGAGGGGTCTGTCCTCTCTCAAAGTGCTGAGCATTTCTAAGTGCAAGGGTGTAACAACCACTGGCATGGTGGATGTGGGGAGGCTGTCAGGGCTTGAGAGACTTCTGCTTAATGACACGGCTATTACGGATGATGGATTGCAGCAGCTGACTGTCCTGACAAAGCTGACACGGCTTGAAACGCCAGAAGGGGATTACCTTCTTAGCGATGATATTCGCAGGTGGATGGACAGGCAGGGTGCCAGGGAGTGCTGATGGAAAAGGAGGTGAGGTGAGGGGGTACGTGATTGTGTCTTCTTGATAGGGAAGACTGGGGAGGGGAGGAGGGGAGGAGTGCATGCAGAGAAGTGAGGCATGGAATGGTAGTTGAGGGGAAGGGGAAGGAGGATTAGAGGTGGAGCAGGATGGGAAGGGGAGGCGAGGTGAGGGATCTGGGGATAAGGGCGAGCAAGAGAGCAGTGAGGGAGGCGAGCATGGTGGGCGGCAGCAGTGTCTGCAGGATTGTCTGCAGCAGTGTTAGCAGCAGTGGTGGCAGCAGCGGTGGCAGCCGAGTGGCGGCAGCAGTGGCGGCAGCAGCAGCGGCGGCAGCAGTGGTGGCAGTAGTTGGACCAGCAGTGGCAGTTGCAGCATCAAATGGCACCACAGGTGGCAACGACAGCAGCGGCGGGTGAGGGTTGAGATTAGGGGTGAGTAATGTCTCGCTTGGCTGCATGAGGGGAGCTGCATAACAAATGCCTGGCTGTTTGGGTGCAGGGTGTACAAGTATCTTCACAGACGACAGGGTTTAGTGTGTGTGATGGAGCTTGTAACTTGTAAGGCACTCTTCCTGCTGCTGCAAGGGATCTGGGTGTGCAATGAGGATATGCGCTAGCAGATTGGGGGTTAGGGGGGTAGGGAGTGGTGATGGGGTCAAGGAGATAATTGGTGCTGTTTAGGAGAGGCTTTTAGGTGTGTGAAAGGTGGTGGTTGGGCAAGTCTATATCTGTGCACAGCTGAGGGTAGGCTAATGATTGTGAACTTGTGCCTTGACCTCAGACTACAACGATGTGTAAAACTGTGTAGTTGATAGAAAACAGTTGCATGCTAGTCGGGTTCAGCTACTGATCTTGCTGGTCTGACGTTGGGTTCATGGTCTACTAGTGTCTGTTGCCAAATTTAGAATGCTCCAAACTTTTTCATCAGTGCCTCTGTATGAATGAGAGGTTCCATCACATGTAAATACGTGGGCATGTGCAGCGACTTGTTGGCTAAGCTAGGCAGCAGGGCATGATCCATGGGACGGGGAAGAGGTGAGCAGTATTGGGCTTGTGCATGCATGGGAAAGGGTAGAAGACACACATAATGCTGCATCACCCACCCATACAGCGCTTTTCTTTACTACCACACAGGAGGCAAGAAGGAGCTGAAGATTATCGTACGGTATCACAATTAAGTGGCTCGCTAGGCATCACATACAACTCGCCCTCCTGTGGGTCACTACATTTCTCGTCGACGCATGGTTAGATGGGCGGGGCAGCTGGAAAGCAACAGAATCCCAAATGCTGCTACTTGGTTACTACAGCCACACTCCACCCACTCAATGCACCCCCATGGCTGTTTACTGGTGCTTCTGCTGCTGTATGGCATGTCCCTCTGAGCTCAAGAAGGTTATGCTGCAATTGAGAGAAGGGAAAGCATTTGTGAGGGGCACACATGAGAGGGAAGGGACCGAGGGAAGTGAAAAGCACAGAAATGGCAGTGCAAAGTGAAAGATGGTATGGGATGAGCCAATGAGGTCTGGGAAATGTGGGACAAGGTGTGGGATGAGGTGTGGGACGAGGTGTGGGACTAGGTGTGGGACTAGGTGTGGGACGAGGTGTGAGACGAGGTGTGAGACGAGGTGTTGGACTATGTGTAGGACTAGGTGTGGGACTAGGTGTGGGACTAGGTGTGGGACTAGGTGTGGGACTAGGTGTGGGACTAGGTGTGGGACTAGGTGTGGGACTAGGTGTGGTTCTAGGTGTGGGACTAGGTGTGGGACGAGGTGTTAGAAACTGTGGTATCCATGCCGGATCCTTCAAAATTGCCGACCTTGCTGACCTTGCTGATTGTGTCATGCCCACTAAAAAGGTTCCTTCTGTCACCCCTGGTATCATTGGCTCGAGAAGAGCAAAGCAATGAGAGCGAATCCTGCAAGGCTACTGCTGCTGCTGCTGCTGCTGCTGTTGCTGTCCTTGCTGCTGCAATCGCTAGTCAGCATCAGCTGTCCACTCTACACCCGTATGAAGGCCCACGAGCTGCAACAACCAATGCAGAAAATCTCATCTTGCCAACCATGACGCTCAACCCCGCCCCATAACCCCATGGTTGCTACATGGTGTAAGAAATGAAGGAAGGGTACTTCCAGTCAACCATGCACTGGTGTCATGTGACACCACGCATGCCATGCACATGATGCACACACTATGCACACATCATGCACATGATGCACACACTATGCACAAATCATGCACATGATGCACACACCATGCACACACCACCATGCAGACAACATCCATATGCACGCATCGCCGCCACCCATCCGCCCACCCACCTGGCTCACTCTTATGGGGGTGTGCATCTTGTGCCTCATATTCCTCAGAAAAAGGAAGTTTCTCTTGGCATCGCTTGCCGCCTCTGTTGCCTCCTTGGCTCGCCTCAGCTGCTCCTCCTGCCTCAGCGCCTCCACCAGGTCGTGCCACATGCCATACAACACACAGGCCCTCAGCCGCTAGCGCCCATAAACTGTTTAGGAGAGGGGAAGGGGGAGGTGGGAAAGAAGAGCTCGCAGGAGAGATGAAGGGGGGCGCAAGCACGGCAGGGCAGCAAGGGACAGGCATGAGCACACGAACAGGCCTCTCCGCCTGCAACCACATCCCTCTTACTCCCGTCCACAAACACACAAACACCCCTTCTTGCGCCAGCATACCCCCCTTGTCCCCCCACCCCAACCCCTTCTTTCCCTTGTAGCATCCACCAAGCCCCTTTGCCGCACCCACAACCACCCCTCCTCGTTGCGCCCACAAAACGTGGCACGCATGGCTAGGTTTGGCTGGGGTCGTGCACATCACTGACCAGCTTGACCCGGGTCAAAATTTTGCCCAGACAGTCACTGCCTGATGCCGGAAACCCCGGGCTGCGACTTGGGCCACGTCTGGCCCTGAGTGGCGGGCCGGGCCGGGCCGGGCCGACGAGGGCCGTGGGCCGGGCTGGGCTGACAGTATGGAAGCATACCATACCAGCCCCAGCTCGACCCATGGCCCGGCCCATGCTCATGTACCGCATACAATGCAGGTGCAGAGCTCCCTGTCCCCCTTGCTGTAGTCCAAGCCACCACCTCCTGCCCTTCTACACCCATTTCATTTCTTCCCATGCGGACCTCGCCCCGTCCAGCTGCGCAGGTGACATGCACCCAAGAGCCATGGCTTGCTTAAGGGGCAATGTAGAGGGGCAGAGGACTGGAGGCACAGGTGCAGAGCTTCCCGGCTTGCTTGCTGCAAGCCCAAGCCACCCCCACCTCTCCTCTCCCAGCCACCTCGCGCCCTGCCCACACCCATTTCTCCCCACACCTCACCCTCTCCATCTGAAACTTGGGATAAAGCGCAGAGGCGAAGGGAAGGAAAAGGCGAGGGTTTGAGGGTGAGAAAGAGGAAGCGGGTAGGGGAGGTGGAAATGGAGGGGTGGAGACGGGGAAGAAGGGGGATGGGAAAGTGGGGGGGGAAGGTCAGATCTTTTTGGATCTCTCTTTCGGATATCAGTCGCTGGAGGGGAGCAGATCGGACGGTTGAGGCGCGAGCCCGGAAAGAGTAGACAGGCAAAGCACTAGATACAGTCGGACTTAGGCAAGGGTGAACGATGAGGAGCAGGACTCATGGGAAGAGAAACAGGTTCCTGTTGGGAGCCGCTTCTTCTCAGACAGATCAGCAACGCTCAGGGAAGAGAGTGAGGACGGGACGATGCCACAAGAGGCGAGGGTTTCTTAAAAAGGGAATACTGATTCAGAGCACGGGAAACACGCCAGAAAGAGTTCTCGAGTGGATAAACAGAGTTGCGGGCTTGATTGACGGGGGAGAGGAGCAGGCAGAGGAGGGAAGGGGCATGGATGAGAGGGCAGGAGGGAGGCATCATGTAACATGATGCATGCCACGCGCTCCGTTCGCCTCGAAACCCCTTCCATTCATTCATCTCACCGTTTGCTTCTCTCATGTGGCTTCATCGCAGTCCTCAGCCCGTCCCCGTTGTCAGGCGTCACCTTCGCACATCCGCTTCCAACCCATCTCGTGCGCGAGCAGTGTGCTACTGGGAAGAAAACGCAACGCATCGAGTCAATTGCAAGTACGTGGTGTTTCAGTGGCGTTGCGACGTGCATTTGAACCCATCAATCTACCTTTAAAAGCGCGTCACTACCCTAGACCTCTAGCTCTTCTAAACCCGTCGATCACCAATGGGTTGCCGAATCATCTCGTCCGGCGAGTAGCTAAACGTGGCAAACATATCGCGGAAAAGGCTTTGGCCCAAATTCGAGTTTAAGTCTGAAGGCTGCAGGAAAGTTGCTGCTTTGTATCCGAAAAAGTATCCAAAAGGCTTTGACTGAAAATCGCAACCTACACAAATTTCGGTTACAAGGGGTAACCGAGCCGCGCATTTTGGATACGCGGGTTACCCGAGGCGCGCATTTTGGATACGTGGGTACCCGAGCCGCGCATTTCTAGCATGAATTTCGAAACCTCGGCACCGTACAGTACACATGGTCACGACCAAACCTTGGGAGTCCCCCTTGATGTGAAACTGCTGGTGTCAGAAAGATGAACACTTCGCACGAAATAGATTGGCTTTCTCGAAAGTTGCGAGAACAGTAACGTGGATACAAAACCGGACGAGGCTCGCCAAGGTGCAACCAGGAATCGGAACTGGCAACTGGCACACGGGTTCACAGTCACACCCAATCAGTGCGAAGTTGTTCAGATTTCGTGTACTGTTTTTTTTTTTTTTTTTTTTTTTTGCTTATATGAATTATACACCAGAACACAAGTGTACAACGCATAAACAGTCGTAACTGTGCATGAGAGACAGGGGAGCCCGCCTCAGAATATTTGATCCTCAAGCATGGATCCGGGGCCTGCGAGGTTTGCCCCAGACTGCTGCGAAGCTGTTGGACCACTTCCAACCTTTGCCATCCACCACTCTGATACAGTTCAGAAGATCACGCTCTTGCACTGTCATTTTCCGCCACCTGTCTTGCTGTTCCTTCCCACACTGCTGCATCCTTGTCGCAGAAGCACGCAGGTAAACATTCACTTGCATGCGGAGGGCCGACTCAATTCTCCGCAATACCCTTCGCGTGCGGAATTTACAGCCTCGAAAGGCCCTTTCGCACCTTTCCGCCCATAGCTGATGGAGGGCAATCGCGACCAGTGTAGCCTCCGGAAATGCTGACTGGGACTCGGCTTTCCCAAACAGCCAATCACCGAGCGAGTCACATTTCCTGCCTGGATTGATCATCCGTAGCGCCTTTTTAACCGCTGAAGTCACCCCTTGGGTTTTCGGGCACTCCAAAAGACAGTGTTCCAGTGTCTCAAAACTCCCACAGTGAGGACAGACTGGTTTGCTGCAGAGAAACTCCAGACGCTCCCCTACTTGTAGATTAAGGCAGTGGATCCGCAGCAGAACATCTCTTGGCCGGCTCGGGGTAACAAGTGACTCCCGAATCTGAACTGCCCGCTTCCAGTCAGTACTTCCGCCCCAACGACTCGCCCATTTCTCCCGCCTGTTCTGTCCACTGTTGCCATGCTTCCAGTACTTTCTGAGCGACCTCAGCGGAATTGCTTTTCCTTCCGCCAACAGTTTTGCCCGGAGCTGTAGGGGTCCCCCTCTGCCAACCTCGTATTCGTCCGCAAAGCTCATGTTCGGGAGTACAGCCGAAATGAGCTGATTCCTCCAGGCCTCCGGCGCAGCTGCAAAAGCCTTGAGCGCAAGACTTGCTGAGTCTCTCCCCCGCAACTCCCTCTCTAGGGTTTCAAGGCTTTTCAGCATCCCCCTCCCGTCCGCATCTCTTCCAACCAGATCGCCCAGCCTGACATCCCAAAGCCGCTTCGCCGCTTTCTGCCCTCCCACTGGCGTGGTACCTTTCAAGAGAATATGCCTGTTAAATGCGATTCTCTCCAGCAGCAGCTCCTTGGTCTCTCGTTCCTCCGTGGATACCGCTAACGGAGATCGCATGAAGTTTGCACAAGCCAATTTCCACCTCTGACTTTTCCCCTCCCATGTTTTCAACAGCTTCTCGTGCGCCATAAACGTCTCCACCCCCCTTGGCAGGTCAGCTGCTCGGCGCATCAGCTCTCGCTTTAGCTGGTTCGTCTCCGTGAGTACCAGCCCGATCCTTCTAGCTGTTAAGCAGGTAAGCATCGCCTCAGGATTTTCGCCCCCACTCCTCCTTCCAGTACCGGTGTAAACAGAAGCTCTTTGCTCCAGAGGTTGAAGCACTTGTCCGATGTGACCTTGTTAGCTGACATGAAGTTTTGTGTCATCCTTGTGATGACCTTCCAGGTTTGCGCAGGCGGCGGGTACACCTGAGCTTGGGACCACGCAATCGGCAGAATATATCCGTCCATCACCGCTGTCCGGGCCTTAATCGGGGGAAATTGCGGTTGCCATAGCGACATCTTTCCGTCGATTTTTTGAAGCGCCTTATCCCACGTCGGCTGGCAGCTTCCATTCGGCGTGACCCACACTCCCAACAGTCTTTCTGCTTCATTTTCCTCAGCCCATCGAAACCCGTCTGTGCGCCATGTCTTTTTCCCCAGGTTAACTCCCAGTGGCATCACCACCGACTTCCCCTTGTTGGTCTCCAAACCGGAAATGCATTTGAACTCCTCCAACACCTCCTCTGCTCTTCCGATTTGCTGCTTCCCCTGCAGCACGAGGGTCGTGTCATCGGCGTAACCGATGTAAGCCAACCTTTGGCCAACACAGCTGGTGAGGGAAATCCCTATCTTCCGCTTCATCACCTTCTGCGCCAGCGGCTCCACCGCACAGAGGAAGAGGTAGGGTGCTAAGGGGCAACCCTGCCTCACCCCCGAGACCACATTCACCGCTTCGCCCATCCAGCCATTGATTAGCAAACTCGTCCTCGTGTTCGTGTGCAGACCTTTCACCCAGCCAACGAAACGAGCCGGAAAGCCCATTTTCTCCATCACTTCGAAGATAAAGTCTCGAGAAACCGAGTCAAACGCCTTTTTGAAGTCTACAAGCAGCATAAACCAGTCCTCCGACCCATTTTTGGCTGCGTCGATTATGTCAGCAACCAGCCCCACCGCATCAGACATCCGCCTTCCGGGGATAAAGCCAAATTGTTCTGGTGAGATCACCTTGTGCAGCACTTTCTTGATTCTGCTCGCCAAGACCCGCGCCAGTAGTTTGTAGCTGATGTTTAAAAGCGTGATAGGACGGTAGTTATCCAACTGCTCTTTCGCCCCTTTTTTATGCAGGAGGATTGTCACCGCATCTTTCACGTTGGTGGAGAGCGAGGACGTGAGGGTGAAGTCGCTGACCAACCCCATAACATGCTTTCCGAGTGTGTCCCAGTGTGCATCAAATAGCTCCTTCGGCAGGCCATCTTTCCCTGGTGATTTGTTGCACGCCATTTCCCGCAACGCCTGTCTGACCTCCTTCTCTGTCCATTCCTCTTGCAGACTTTCCGCATCTGAATACAGCAGCCTCTTCCCGGCTTCCGGACGCCAATCCGA